AATGTAGTATTAGAAGTCCTTCCTTGAGCACGAAGGAAAGAAAAGAGTCATCCATACCTGAAGGGATGAAGTGAAGGTGTCTGTGTTAACCTTTGATCTTAGTCAAAAGGCCGAGAAGTGACGCGCCTGTGCTTACAGTCTATCATACTTTATATGGCAAAAACACTATGCACAGGTTCCAAACATCCTCGGCTGGAGCTTACAGCAAAAAGAAATTCAAAAAATATTTCAAAACCCAAAATCAGCTCCTCTGAATCACTTGTGCTTAAATACAATAAAAATGGGCAATCTGAAAAAGAGGTTAAGACCACCAGTTTCATTTCACATACCATTCACTATATGATCAAAGGCCTTCCATGTAGCTGCGTGTTACAATGCTGAGGATCTATCACAGGCACCACAAAAACTAACTATATAAAACAAAATAACATCAGAAAATAACTTACTTAGAGATGGCTATGGTTTGTGTCATAAACCATAAAGCCCCCCAAAGACTCATGCAGGATTACATGGGGCTTTTACGGAGGTGGCTGAATCCACAGTGTGTGATTGATTCATGGATCAATGCTAGGATTAAGGGTGAATGATGGCTGGATCAGTACACTCTCTGGACTGGCACTGGTAGTGTGGGTACAATATAGAGTACAGAAAGTGGCTTGTCTTCCTCTTGTTGCTTTGCTACGGTCTGTGTAACCCACTGTTCTCTACCAAGACACCCTGCCTTGGGGCCAGCTCATTATGCACCAAAGCCTCTACAAACTGTGAACCAAATAAACCCTTCTCTGCTTAACTTTGGATGTCCAAGCATTTTATCTCAGCAATGATAGAAATGTAATTAAAGACATATAAATGACTGAAAATGAGAAATATATTCTACACAGCATTGCTGCAAGAGTTCTTTTTTCTTTTTCTTTTTTCTTTTTTTTTTTTTTTTTTTTTGGCAGAACTGGGGATTGAACTCAGGCCCTTGTGCTTGCCAGGGAAGCACTTATTCCACTGAGCCATCTCCCCAGCCCAGCATTGCTGCAAGAAATCAGTAGGAACAAATATGTACGCAATGACGTTTGACATTCATTTGAAAGACTTAAACATGGTTACAAGGTCAACAAACATTCTAAAAATTTAATATAGCCCTCTCAAAATTTCTATATTTTTGGCAGGAAAAGAAGCATAAATTCACAATAAATGCAAAAATGTATTGATCACAACAATCTTTAATGATCAAAGTGGAAAAATTCATGTTTCCTTATTATAAAATTTACTACCAAGCGATGGTAACCAAACTGTGGTACTGGTATAAGAAAAACATGTACAGTAGTAGGCTATTACAAAGTCCAGAAAAAAGCCATCACATCAATGATTTTTAAGAAGGGTGCCAATACTTTGCAATGGAAAAGAGAAAAAAAGTCTTTTATCAATTAGTATTGAGAAAACTGGATATCCAGGGTAAATCCTGAGAGGACTTAACTGATTTTGGCAGATAAAAAAAGTTACATTTCTTCTTATATAGGTCTTGCTTTATCTTGGTCTTAACCATACAGCAGAAAAGTATAAAAATGAGGTATAAAAAGTAAAGCCAAAAAAAAAGTAAAGCTATATTAATATGCTGAGCTGTAAAAGGCTCAAGTCAAGAACTTCTGACATTGCCAGTCTTATGGATAGCCCACTACTATTATGGACTACTGGACTGTATTGAAATATTTTGCTGAATTCATGCACCTACAATATTTAAATGGCAATGGAATGCCCATCTCTGACAAAACTAAACAGCAAAAGGGGATACAAATGAAGGACCATTTTGTATCTGTATATACAAAATAGTTAGGATAGCTATACAGCTACTTTCTACTAATTCAATGAGAAGAAAATTTTGTACTAATAGTGTTTGGACAGGATATTTGTCTTCATCTTGTACTGTGAATAACCACTATGTAGACAACAATATGCAATGTATTAATTATTGTAACTGTCCTACTGACCTGTTTTGAAACTGTCTCACTGCTATTTGTTTCTCAATAAAATTAATAAAAAATAACATTCAAGATAGACAATAAAGTTACATTTTACTTTACCTAATAAACAATTCACTCAAACAGTGTATGTTACTGTAACAAAGACCTATTAGCTACTTTTACTAGAAAAGCACTGACTCTTCAATTTAGTCTGCAGATGTTCAGAGGATAACTACCAGCAGCAGAAACACTTGGCCTTGATTTTTGCATCTGTCTCCTTTGATAGTTTCAATTTTGGGTCAGATTCCTAATCAGTTCTGCACATAGCTGTGTTTGTTAATCATGCTCATCTAAAACTGGCAATCTTCCCTCTTCAAGGTGGAGATCATAACTAAGGAATTTTGACTTATGAGGTTCCACAATGTCCTCTTGCGGATCACTGGCGGAATGCCAAGAATTCTCTAGTTACTGCCCTAATTCTGAAGGTCTGAGTATCTCCACCCAGAGGTTCTGCTGTGTCATTTGCTCCCCTAGTCACTTTGCATCTAGAAACAACAGTTCTGGTCAGTAGGTTTACTGTGAAAAGGGCCAATAGTACCCCCAAGGAGAAGCAAATTTCATTCCATGGGCATAATACTACATAACGAATCCTGAAATAAGCATCAGCCCCAACATAGTTTGACCAAAATTGCCTGACTGTACATGCTATGCTACTGCTTTGCTCCTATCCTATATAATCCCAAAGTTCCGTCAGTACCTAGGAGACAATAGTCTAAAAGATGGTTCTTTTCTTCTCTCCAAGTGTGATTGCACTGAGTAAATTTCTTTCCTATCTGTCATGGGTACTTTTCTCTCCTTGCTAAGACAAAATATCCAATGCCCAAAATGAAGGCAGGAAAGGTTTATTTATCACATAGTTTGTGGAGATTTCAGTCTGTAATCAGCTGACTCCAACTCAGGGTGACATGGAAGAGGGTAACACTTCAAAGGGGCAGAAGATAGAAAAAGCAATAAGAGCAAAAGAAGGAGCAAGCCTCTTTTCCTGTTTTATATTGTATGCAGGCTACCTTTCCACTCCCTTTCCATGCCTTTCTCTTGCACAAGCTCAGGATGTCTACAACATGAAGACCCTGACTCCCTAGTGAGCCACTTAGTTAAACTTTTTCTAAACTTCTCAAATTGATATAATGTATCAGCCATAACACTATCTAGGCAATTCTTTTTATTTTTTCTTTGGTCAGTTATGATAAATGGCTGAGCCTATTCCAATTTGATTCTCCCAAATTATGGCACATGCTTTAAGATTCTGATACTATTGAAAAAAAATGTCTGGCCTGAATGTACCTCAAAAAGACCAAGACTTGGGAGGAGAGTGTTAATGGAAACAAATCAATTGAATGGAATTCAGGGCTGATGATGTTGGAGAAATTTCTCAAAGATCTGTCTTTGGTTCATTTGACTGAGTGAGTATATTTATGGGGAAGGAAAGAGGCCTGCAGGGCCATCCAAAGATATAGCTTCTCCTGGTGTCTCTGGCCAGATCACAACAATAAATTGTGATATTCTATAAATAGCTACTACAGAAGCAATTTACAAAGACTATGGGATTGTCTTAATGCTATGAATCTATGAAAGATCTGCAGTAACCATCTTAATCATCTAGGTGTAAATTCTCTTCAGGCAAATGATTATGGAGGAACAGTGGGGCATGGAAAAGCATGAAAGATAATTTCCAAGAAATGTCTTATACAGATCCAAGACCTAAATTTCAGAGATTAAACCACACAACTTTTAGGAGAAAATACAGATGGTACATTTCATGACATTATATTTAACAATGATTCCTTAGAAAACACCATATGCACAATCAACAAAAGAAGAAAAAGATACTCTGATCTTCATCTAATTCATCCACCTTTCATTAGAAAGAAACTCTAGGGCCAGGCAAATAGCTCAGTGGATTAAAGCGCCTGCAAGGATCTACAATCTAAGGTACAGGATCACAGGATAAATCCTGAGAGGATTTCACTGACCTTCTCAGACCCAAAAGCTACAACTCTTGTTGCATAGGTCCTGCTTTACCTTGGTCTTAACCATCCAGCAGAAAAGTATAAAATGATGTATAAGAAATAAAGCCATGTTGGTATGTTGAGCTGTAGGGGACTCAGGTCAACAATTTCTGACATTGCCAGTCAAGTGGAAGACCCAATACTATTATGAACTATTGGATTCTTTTAGAATATTTTGCTGAGTTCACGCAACTATAATATTCAAATGATGGAACTAAACAAAAAAGGGGATACAGATGAATGTCCATTTTGTATCTGTGTATTCAAAATGGTTAGGATAGATATATAGTTACATTCTCTTAATGAATAGAGGGATTTGTTCTAATAGTGTTTGTAAATAGGATATCATGTCCACATCTTGTACAGCAATTAACCACTAGAAAGAGAGTATGCAATGTGTTAATTAATGAAACTGTCCTACCAATTTGATTTGAAACTGTCTCATTGCTATTTGTTTCTCAATAAAATTATGGAAAAAAAATAAAGCTCCTGCAAGCAAGAGCAGGGGATGGGGGTTTGATTTCTAAGCCTGCTGTGCCAGCCCGTCCCTGGGGTGTGCTGATATGGCAACTGAGACTGGGCGTGGTGGTGTGTGCCTGTAATCCCAGCTCTTGGGAGGCCGTAAACAGGCGGACTACTATGAGTCTTGTTCTAGTAGTAAGACCCTGAACACCCTATAGGCCCATCCCTAAAATAAATTTTAAAAAAAGAAAGAAAGAAAACAAAAGAAAGAAAAAAAAAAGAAACTCTACTCTGTTTTCTCTACCACTATGTAAACATGGTAAATAGGAGATACTGTGGTTTTAGCTATAAACATGCATGTGAACACACATAATCAGGCACACATGTAAACTCTCCCATATGAATTTATACAGAAGAGAAAGAATCACACATGCATACTGAGGGAAAAAAATCTTCCTCACTATGCATGTGCGATTCTGCTACCAAACTGGTATAAAGACACCCTCCCCCCCACCTATTAAGCAACACGGGTATTTCTGCTCATCAGTACAAAGGGACTGAGAACCACATAACCAAGTAATAGAAATATTTTAATATATAATATTGTGGATGTGTGAGTCAGATTGAAACCTATGTAGAAGGAAAAAATGAAATCTGCCCAGTAAAAGAAAAGAAAACAGGCTGTGAGAATGAGAATACTTTGAGTAGCTCTGATTTCTGGGCTGAAATTATTTGGAGACCTGGAGTTGTGCAGGTAGAGGACACGCTTGTGGTGCTCATATAGTCGTACAGCCATATACCCGCTGCTCTGGCCCATGAGACTCTGGAAGACAATGTCTCGAAGAGTCATGAGAAAGAGGAAAAGCCACCTGACTGTTTGCCTAGATGGCATCATGTAACAGTGCCCAATGTACATTTCAATCCCAGTTCTGTTCATTCTGCTGGCTGATGTGATATAGTTGAGCAAGTTGGAACTTATAAGAAAATTAAATATCCACAAAAGAAGGAGACAGGGAAGAACTTGCCATGCAGTCTGTGGTTTGTGCTTTCTCCACAGGGTAGTCCTGGGACTGATGGTGATGGCTTGCACCATGCTGAGGAGACAGGTGTTACAGATGGAGAATCCTCTGGCCACCCTTCCCATATACACCACAATTTTACAACCAGTATTGCCTAGGAAGTTTCTGAAGTAGAAAGCTGCAGCTACACCTCTGATCCCAATGCTACAAATCATGATTGTATGTGAAAATGCCAAATGAATAAGGATTAAGTCAGTGGGTTTTTTCTCATGGCCTGTTACAAAAGTATGTATGTACATCACAAACATGATGATGTTCCCCACCAGTCCAGGTCCAGTAAGAGAAAGGAGAATTGTTCTCTGGATGAGAGTAATCCAAGTCATCTTCTGACCTCATGGACAAGACTAGAAAACACAAAGAAAGGGATATATGTAAATGTTCTGTTTCTAAAATATGTAAATGTGCATGATTTATTCTGTAGCACATACCTGATTATTCTTTACCACCTCTATTCTTCTCTAGCCTCCGCTAACACTGAGGTGAAAGTAATTATTTGCAATTTTGTTGTAAGTTCCATGCTAATGCATTCATCAGCCTTTCTAAAGGAACCTTTTTCATGCCCCTAATGTCTAAAATTTAAATCATGATTTTCTTCCTAGAGACAAGCTAAATAAAAGGCAACATTTTTCAATTTGTAAGCCGTGCTCTTAAGGATTAACCTGGAGTCTTTCTTCCTTTGTATAGTTTACACCAGCAAATCAGCCCATGCTAATGGTTTATTTGTCCTCTCTCCAAATGATATTTACCATCCCATAGACACTCATCCCTCTAATGAGTCATGCTGAAATAAGGGATTGTACCTTTTCCAGAGAATTATACTTATCCAAATGCAGCAGCTTTCCCCGGGGAGTTCAGGTAGGCACCCCTCCCACCAATGCTGCAAAAAGAGTCACGAATGAGATAGAGTTGCATTTTGTACAGCAGTAGATGTGAAACAGCTGTGGTTAAATTTTTACCCTCAAACTTCTTCATGGCTGGCATCAGATTGAAAAAATGATGTTTCCCCCATCATGTATCCTATCCTTACTCTCCATTTCTCCTGCTAACACCCATCTACTGAAGCTGGTTTTGGTGGTTTATTTCTTCAGAAAAACAGCTCAGCTCTCAGGCGTAGGTCCAATAGGCTATAACTACAGACATATCTTGCTGATTTTGCCTATTGATATTAATCAAATCTAGTGAAAGTCTCAATCAAAATTGCCCAAAACCAAATGAATTGCTCTACATCTTCAGGATGGGTGATATATACACCCATCTTCTAAATGGGATCCATTTTTTTTTTTTTTTGGTATGGTATATTGTATATTGAAAATGAGCTTTTAAAATACACCTTTTTTAAGTTCTTGTAAGTCAGGTATAGTTTCACAGATTAAAATACATACTGTGTGACTCCAATTGAGTCAGGTTTTTGTCTAAATGAAAGTGCTGGGGATATACAGTCCAGATTCTGAGGGATATCACTGAATCAGAAGTGTCACAGCTCAGCGCTTACAAGAAAAGTTTCCAAGCAGCCTTTGTGGATTGTACATGTTGGTATTCTTAGTGCCTATGTGCATGACTATGACCTTGGGCAAGCTGCTTGGGCAATCTATGATCCAGCGTTCTGATCTATAACTATGAGTGATGTTTTTATGCTATGCACGTCTATTATGAAGACTAATGAGCTGAAGCTTTTAGTGTTTAGGGAAGTACACAGCAAGTGGTAAAGGAACATGTTATAAAAACAGTTGAGGTTTTTTCCTTCATTACTCTCTCATTACACAACATCTTGTATGTTGAATCCAAGGAATTGAATACTCATTATAAATAAAATTATAATAAAAAGGGACGAGTGCTTCATCCTACAAAGATGGAACCAGAACAAGATATACAATGCAAACAAAAGTCTCCTTTCTTCTGTGGTGAGATACACAGAGCTTGCTGGTAGGCTGCACCGACTAAGGACTTCAACACACATGCGGCAGTGTTGTTGGTCTCCATGGCTCTTGGGGTGGCCTGGTCTGCATGGAGAGCAGCCTCCAGCACATTGCCTCATGGGTGGCTGTGAATCAGTTCATCCTGGTGGACTAACAAGGACTGATTTCTGGATGGCAGCATGGCAAACCTGTATGTGATTCAGAGCAGTTTGAATCTCATTACCTGTCCACTGCTCTACTACTCATTAACGTGAATATCTTGCATGTAACTTTATATGACCTTACACAGATATTGGACCTTCCTGTGTAAATTCAAAAGTCTTCACTTACAAATGGATACTTGTGGTTATTTTTGAATGCCAAATAAAAGCTCCTTCCTTGGTTAATATTTAATTTATGATTATGGAATAATGAACATGGCATTGCACAATATTTATCATATTGCAGTTCTGAATCAACACATATAACTGTAGGTCCAAGTCTGTGAAGCAGAATTTCTTCAGAAAAAATGATAAATTTTGACAGAATTTGCAAAATTTTTACCTTCTTACCATTATGGGAAGAATAGTGGTGAAAGGCAAGCCACATAAATAGTAGAAGTGAATCTAGCTCTTCAAAGTGGCAGAGTGGAAGCTGGGATTTCTGTGAGGCCATAGAATTAAAGACACCTCTTGGAGGGGACAGAGTGTGGGACAAGATTTCTTTGTGACTCTCATTTCTATGTTTGTGTTAGGCCTGGAGCACAAGTCACCATCACTGCTATTCAAGAATAAATCTTTATGTTTAAACAAAACTTACCAAATTTTGTTTCACACATAGCACAGGAAAATTAACAGTTCTTTCAAATTCACTGGAAAGTGAAATGAAATGTGGGTTTTCTCAATATGTTCCTCTCCCATTAAGCACACCAATGTTCAGCCAGTGTCCAAATGGACTTTTTTTTGTGAACCAGCACACATGGACTCAAAGTCACGTAAACAAGGGACAGAAATGTCAAAATCCTTACTACTATGAAAGTGTTTGTTAAAGATGAATTTAAAACAGTCAGTGTAAGAAAAGAGAACAAAGCATACCAAAGACTTCTCTTTCAAGAGGACTTATGTAGAGAAACATGGCATCTACATCTGGAGAACACAGTGGTGGTGTTTGTGGAGATGAAATACACTGTAGACATGGACTCCACCCATGACAGCCTGGACTCCACCCATGACGGCATTGGGCGGCATAACCATGACAGTGACACAAATCCATCATATTATTTATCTTCCCAGTAGATAATAACAATAGCCATCATTTTTACCAATTTGTAGCATGTTTAGCCAGTATATTTGTGATTGTACAGAAAACTTCTTGTTCATCACAGAACTGAGAAACAAGTGAAAGAGGGGCCAAGCGACGTGGGCTTGAATTCTTGCTACCCGAAGTACCTAAGATTTATATTAATGGCATTGGCCTTGTGAGGAGACTGCAAGTACACTCCAGACCACCCTCATCAGATAAATAACAGTCTTTCAGCCTGTATATGCTGTGACTTTTCTTTTCCATTTTATGGAAAGAAACACTATGCTATTCTTAAAAGCTAAACAAATGACTAAGACATTTATAAGTTGCTTGCCACTGTCTGACCAGAAACTGACAAGCAATTAAATTTTTTAAATGTTTCTGAGGCTGAGGATATAGCTCAGAGGCACAAGTGACTGCCTTGCAATGATCGTGTCCTGACTTTGATTCCCATTACCAAATAAATAAATAAATAAATTCTCTATAATTTCAAATCCAATTAGAAACAAATTATTTCAAGTCATTTCCTTTCTTAATTCCTAGGCAGTACTTTTGCAAAGAAAACCACAGTAATGATAAACACTACCAAAAAATCATTTTATACATCAATTCTCTGATGTATAAGGACAAACGTGCTAATAACGAATGGTGTAGACTTTTGTATAAAGAATTATTTCCTTTTTATCTCAGTGTTTGATAATTATAATAGCACAAAGAGATGTTTTAAGCTTTCAAGCTTTATATTTTCAATGTTCATACCTTCATGATCTTTTTTTATTTCTAGAACCCTAATTAAACCTATGTTCAGTGGTTCACAAATACGTTTTGGGTATTTCTTTTTTTTCAGTCCTCACTATCATGGCAATCTTCATAACCTTTCCAAATAACATTTAATGGTTGAAATGTGATGATCCCAGAACATCCAAGGATTTCTCTGTTGTTAGAAAAAAATCAGACAACAAACTGACTGGAGGTAACAATACCTCCATCATTGGAAGCAAAATGTGACACTGCAGAGGGCTTTTAGGGTGCCCTGAGTTCTGCTGAGTGACTTTGAGGTCTGTAAGGAAAGGTTGGATTAGTTCTTGTTGTGTGGCTAGGTATTCAGTTAGAATCAGATTTGGGGAATAATTAGGTAATGTTTGCTATAATCAGATGAGGGACATGTATGAATTATATATCCTAAATATAGGATATTTGGATAAATATAGGATATTTGTACCAATGTAGATTGATTCAGATTGGCAGAAATGATCACTCAAATGATCACTACAACTGCTACATAATGCTGGGAGAAACAGTGATTTTTGTTAACACCACAGCCTACTTTACCTAATTTTTTTTAACTTAGTTAACAATAGTTTTTCTCAGTCTAATCTGATTTTCATGACTCAGGTCTAAAGCCAAATTAATATGCCGAGCTGTAAAAGACTCAACTCTGAATAGAATTTTACTCTTTGAAACCTACAGTCTTTAGTCTCATTTCTCAACTAGGCATTCGTATAAAACTATAGGATAAATTTTCAGATACAAAGCATCAAAACTTTTTGCATCCCACAGGGTGCACCATATTCTACACATTTGGAATGTTTATTTACACATATTACCCCCCATGTTCCCTCTAAAAACTAAAGCACTACTTTAGATTTTTCTGTCATAAAGTTGTGTCAGAAAGAACTGTGTGAACTTAGGATTTTTCTTAGGTTCAGTACCAGAAAACCTCTTTTAGGACTACCACTCATTGTCTTTCAAACTTTGTTTCTTCTGAAAAATGGGGAGACTGATATGTAAATAAAGGGGTGGACAATTCCAAGTGTGTGACACATACTGAATTGTTACCAGCTTTAAAAACAAGTACAGAATATTAGCTAAAAATTTTTAAGTGTAAATTTATTAGTTACCAATTGGACCTGTTTAAAATGACTATACTCAAAATGTTTCAATGTCATAATAGATTTATCAATTCATGTGTGTGTGTGTGTGTGTGTGTGTGTGTGTGTGTATGAGAGAGAGAGAGACAGAGACAAAGAGAGAGAGAGAGTCCATACTCATATTCTTTTGAATATTCCTCATTTTCTCTGAACATTGTTTTCATACATTTCAAATTCAGAATCAGACCACTAATA